AGTAACGGAGAGACCAGCAACACCTAAAGATGATGCTCCGTTGCCTGGGGTTGGTGGGGTGGCACCACCATTATCTCCGGTGGGAGATGGGGATGAAGAGGCGATGGGAGGTGGGGGAGTTGCGGTTGACGGAGGTGGTGTTGCGGTTGACGGAGGTGGGGGTGAGGTTGAGGGTGAGGGTGAGGAAGAGGATGGTGGGGTCACTGGTGACCTAGATGGAGCTGGGGTTGGTGCAGAGATTGGTGAAGGAGAGCCAGTTTGGGGGGCTGGAGCAGGGGCAGAAGGCTGAGGAGTAGAAGCTGGTGGAGGAGTAGAGGGTCGAGGAGCAGGAGAAGAAGGTTGAGGAGCAGGGGTTGAAGGCTGAGGAGCAGGAGACGAAGCTGCAGCACTAACGTTTATTGCCAACTTTTGTCCACCACTGCAGTGGCCGGGAAAGGCGCAGAGGAAATAGTGATCCCCAGTTTGATTGAGTGTAACATTTGCAGGACTGTTTGAAAGTAAAAAAAGGGAACTACTACTGTTGCAAGCATCATAATTCGCCTTTGTGACTCTAGCCACGTCGTGTGCTCCATTAGTAAAATTAAAAACTGCACAAAATTTCATAATAACATGTCATAACAAGATTATGCTTAAAATTGTTATCTTCGGCCCTCTGTGGCTCTAATTCGTTCAGAGAAAAACTAAGCGAAAAGAAGAAAAAAGTTTCTGATACTTACCAAGAGTGTCTCCAACTCTGAAAGTCTTGTTTGCAGCCCATGTGGTGTAAACAGCAGGACCTGGGGGAATGGCCCAACCTAAAGCATCGCCGACAACGTAAGCCGTCTGTGCCGACGAGCTCTGCAACATTGTCGCCATAGCAATAGCTGCAAGAAATGCTATGTTCAATATTCTTCCCATTTTTTCCATTTATTGTGTTCCAGAAATTCAGGTCGCCCTTTTCTCTCTCACGCTACTCTGTTTTTGCTTTTTTCAGGGGAGAACTGAAGGTGGGAGAGATGCACTCTATTTTGTCATATTTATAGGCAAAACGCTTTGATATTTCGGATGGAATGGTATTGTTTGATGGAGGACACGTGGAATATTGGTCAACAAGATGAACGCACCGATTTCAATTGGAAAGCGGTGCAATTTCCCGGAGTTTTGGGACTTTTTGCCGCGTTAAAGACTTATTTTATCATCGCGTCTCTGTTCGATTTGTCAAAAGTCTATGAAGGCTAACGACTTAGACTTTCAAAATTTTTTTTTATAAGTAAAGAGAGTGTCTGCAAAGTAAAATTAGGGGAAAATGAACTAAAAAAGAAATAGTGGGAGTAGACCAAAGATGTAGCGTGGATGTTTCATTAGAATTTCCACATAAATTTTTTTAAAGATAAAACAAAAGGAAGATAGAGTCATGTGAAAAATAGGGGATTTTGAAAGGTAAGTTGCAAAATAAGAATTTAAAGCCATATGATGAACTACTAAAAATTCTATTCAAATTGGATTGTTAACTAATTTGAAAATAACATTAATGATCTTATTTTCATACCCACGAAAGAACTTTGTTTTGTTTAGAAAAATGAAATGGGGATTCTAAATTATCATCATCAGTTCCTTTTACATTTTTCTTGGTTAAAATAAACTCTCCTATCCAATAATCTTGTAAACTAATGGATGATATGGTACCCTCATTTTATAGATAATTGACATTTTTGGTATTTGAGGGTAGTGGTTTTATGGTTTAGAATATAAAATTTAATTCAGTTATTTTATATAATATTTTAAAAGATTATATTTAATAAATTTAAAATTTAGTATTTATAGTTATTTTTATTTTTATATTATATTTTTTTATTAAAAAATGGTATGATTTAAGAGATAGGAAAGTTACATTTCCTTTCATTATGTAATAAAATTGAAGATTAAAAAAAATAATAATTTAAAAACGTTGCAAGGTAGTGCTAAAGAAAATGGTAATGAAATTTGGGAGGAAGGCTCCTCTCTTATCGTGCAATTATTAATTTCTAAAATTTGAAAATGTCGTACCGAGGACGCGTCAATGTGCGTGGTTGACTTGACTCTCAACAGTACTAAAGTAGGTTTTGATTGTGGCACCGCCACACGCAATGAAACGTTAATTAATCAGTTAATTCATTCCAAGGGAAAATAGATAACTTTTTACGTTAAGATAATGGGTATTAAAAGAGTTGCAGATAACCCAAGTTTCAATAAATCCCAGTACTATGTACCTAGTTTTCTTTTTTTAATTTTTATATTTGTGTAATATTTATTTTATGTTAAATATATATAAAATATAAAAATTATTATATTATAATTTATGTTGATATATTAAAAATAATATTTATTTTTTATTTTTGTTAAATTTACATTTTTTAATTAAAATTTTAAATTATATTATTTTCATATCTTATGTTATATTGTATCATTATATTATATTTAAAATTATCAAATATAAATTTATTTTAAAAAATATGAAATAAAAAAATACATTTATTTAATATATTTCCACTTCCTACACCAAATGCTAAAAGTCGTCTACAAAAAATTTAATTAAGCCAAGTTAGGCTTTTATAAACAGCCTATGGTCTAACCATTGAACTGATAAGATTAAAATTCAAGATATATACACATTTAATTTGATCATTGATATTTAATGTAAAATTATAGTACTATTTGATTTGATTAACTCAATAAGGACTTCAATTCTTTCTTATTTCATCAAAAATCAATTCATGATCACTTACGTAGAAGTAGACATCTTAAGTAACTTATTCTTAAGTTTGTCCATTTCTTCAGCCCATTTATTTATTATGCCCGGCACATGAAGACCAAGTAGAGAAAGACATTGGGCTTACTGAAACTTGGGCTGCAGACCAACTATCCTTTTATTCGGCGCAAAGTGACCTTGAACTGGTCTTCTAGCCCATAAACATCTTTAGTTGAAAATTGACAGGCCAAAAATGAGAAATAGAAAAAAAAAAAAAAAAGAAGCTAGAATGACGTTCTGTTGACATCATTGTAGATTTGCCGTGTTTTGGTGTGCGCAGTAATTTCTCATTTTAAAAGAATTTCTTAGTCCCTATCCACCATGGCTCCATTCGAAAGATCAGCATTACTAAAGCTTGACGTCAGGCTAGAAATCAAGACCGTCTTGCCAATCCAGCATTATTGGCATATGTTTGTTTCACTTATATTTTCGCCACATTCCGTCAATTTTGCCCTGTCTTCATTAAAAGCATTGTTCAGAACAACCCTGTCTCACCTTTTTATTCTTCTGAACTAAAAAAAAAAACACACGCACACAAATTTATACTAGTCATTTGAATTTTGACAAAGATGATTTAATTTATGCATAAGAATCTTCTAGCATAAAAAAACAAAACCATAGGTACGTGACTAGAAAAGAGAGACTGTGTGTTATCATCTACTATAAGTAGTCTGTTGCAGCCCTTTGTCTACCTCATTTTTCTCGGTATGTTTTTAAGTATTCAGGGCTTTTGCTGAATCCTACTTTAGCTGCTTGCTTCATCAAATTTCTGTCTCTTTTTTTTTTTTTTTTTTGAGTATGTGGCTCATCCTCTTACTCTCTCATTTGATCGGATTTCTGTAGCAAAAAGAACTACCAAATTAGGAAAGAAACTTTCAGTTTCGAGTTTTTCCCCATCAGTTAAAGTAGATTGTATCACATATAATAAATTTTTAATACCTTATAATTTTATATTTAAATTAATTTTTTTATTTATTATTAATTAATTTTAAATTAAATATTTAACATCATTTATTCAAAGCCTACACAACACCAGTATTATCATTAGTCAATTAACCTATAGCCTATAGAACTTTTGAATTGGGTTAATTTACATGTTTTTCCACTTCTAACCTGATCAGTTTCATTGTGTTTACAAAACGTTTGTAAAGCTAGTGACAAAATGAATATGAAATTAACGAAGCTCGAAAGCACCTTCACCTGGACATTTAAGCCTAGGGGCATAAACAGGGAACTCACGGTGAGGATGTAAATGCAGAAAGAAAGACTAAGAATATGGTATGTATCATTATCCCTCGTGTACACACACACGTATATATATATGTGACGGATAATACGATGTGGAAGCCAAGTTGGCCTTTGCCATTGCAAAGTCAAAGTGGAGAACTCTAGGGCATTTAAGGTATTACAATTAGGATGATGTTGGAAAAGTATTAAGTACTATTTGCACTTCTCGCCAAGTGATTTAGGGAGAGGACGATAGCTAAAGGTTCAATGTATAGGTAGGCCTAGCAATGCCTATCGCAGAAAGTTTGACAAGTTGAAAAAATTATGCAATCAAGACATGGTTAGGTTGTTTAGCTGGTGGCCATCTCCATTTCTTCAATTGAACCATGTGTGCCAATTAGTTTAAAAATCTTAATGATAATGGAGATTTCACCAAAGCTGGGTGCGCAGTGGGCGCATGTCACTTGTCACCAATCACTTTAAAAAGGGTCGGAGAAATAAAAGAAGAAAAAAGAACCGTCTTATCATTATCATTTCTTCCGATCACTCACAGCAAGGCTGATTTATTAGATCTATAAAGAAAATGAATCAAGGTTTTTATTCGAACACAAAAGATCACTCCATGATCACTATCATAATAAAACGAATGATATCTCTCTGGGACACTACAAAGTCTGAACTCTGAACTGACATAATATCACATAAAAACAGGCAAAAGGGTCTAACATAATTAGCACAACAAAGCCAAGGCAATGGACATGAAGACAAGAGGGAGGGTGGCAACAAGGGATGAAGCTGAGCTGGGAGGACTTGAAGTTCCGGTGCCGTTATGGACTTCGACCTTGAGCTTTTGGCCTTCGGAACAGTGACTACCGAAAGTGCAAATGAAGTAGTGGTCACCAGTCGTGTTAAGGGGGATACTTGCCGGTCCGGTAGTCACATTATAGATGGTATTGGTAGTGTTGCAAGGGTCATAAACAGTTTCTGTCACCTCGGCAACATCATGACTTCCGGTAGCAAAGTTGAAAACTGCAAAAATTGGAACATTCTTCGTCACAAAAATAATATCTGTGTCGCTGATCAAATTTAGTTCAATCAAGAAAATTAAATTGGATTTTGAGCTAAGAAACTCACCAAGAACATCCCCAACCATGAAGTTTTTATTGTCAGCCCAGTCATCATATAAATTAATATTACCGGTTGGCACTCGCCAACCAGTGGAGTCTCCTACCGTGTAATTTGTAGCATAAGAGCTCTGCAACAGGGTTGCGGCCAAAACTACAAAAACTGCTGCCATGCTGTTTTTCCTAGCCATTTTTTTTCAATTGTATATCCTCTGTGTTCTTTGCTTACAGTCGCCCCTAGATCTGTCCGTCTCTCTCTTTCTGCGATAATGTCTGGTTGGTTATCCGTCTCTTCCCTTGTAGAGTATATAAAGAGTGGTGGAGGAGTAACAACTTTCTTCGCAGTTGTTGAAAGAAGCTTTGGGTAAATTAATTACATTCACTAGCTTGCTTAGTGATTTTCTGTTGTGGGGGCAGTTTTTGAATGCGATGCTTCCGCGTGGCCAAAACCGAGTCAATCCAATGAAGGGGTCGATATTCACGTGCTTGACCCTTTCTTTCTTTTTTTTATACAAAAAAAATTTGTTAAAGCGTGCAAAAATCGCCACACCGTCTTCTAATATTTCGACAAGGAGCCACAGTTGAACAATCTTGACTGCTGGCTTTTCCTACACATTACTTTATAGCACTCCGGCATCAGTTAAAGAAAGAAAAGATCATTTTACGATGACCAAAACCAACTATTTCATCGGATTGGTTTTCCATTTCTCTGAAACCTGATTCTTACTTCGTTAAGTGATTTTGACACATAACATTTTTTTTATTTGTTTGAGAAAGGAATCAATCTTGCAACCTTTAAAACCAATCACCAAAATCCTTTTGGAGAATATTTAAGTCCAGCAAATGCTTGGCTCCATGGATTGGTTGGAGCTCTAATATTCCTTGAGGAAATAGAAATCAAAGTATCAATTAAACCCCATTGTGTTGTCGGGAATATATATGTCAATGGGGCCTCAAGGACATATGTGCTGTTTAGATTAATTTTAAGGATAATTTATCCTCCTTTTTTTTAATACGTTTATTAAAAATAATTAAGATTCAATTGAAGAAATATTATCTTTTTTTTTTATTCGTAAGAAGGTAAAATCTTAACAAGAGTGGACGGAGGTAACAAGATAAAAATTAATGTCTACATATCTTTTTCAAAATCTTTTATTCAGGTGAAAGGCAAAGAAATATTATTTGAGTATGATCATGTTAGAGATAATTACCGGTTTTATTAATCTGTCAAGTTATCTTTGGAAATTTTAAGAAGGAGTGTATGCTGAAATTGGAGTGAGTCAAATAGCTTTGCATATGGTGGTCTAATCAGCCTTTGTAATTTAGAAGTATTGATTTTGATAATCGGTGCACGATTTTCCGTCTTTGTTTTTCTTGTCTTCTGTTCCGACTCTTTTCATTAGATTGACATTAATACTATCAGTTTATTGAAATGGTAACAACCATCAAATTAAATGAGTGTAGAATCTTCCATCCTATTATTTTCAACTTCAAAATCTTTCCACTTCCCTGCTTTTAAGATTTTGTGGACCAGCTTGCAACACTTGTAAACAAGGCACTTCATTGTGCAATACTCCTACGATCACCCTATATTATATTCTGTTTGTTTATTTTTACTCGCACAATAGTTGATGCTTCTTAATTTTTTTTTTTTTTTATCATTTTGGAAATATAAAGAGAAAAAAATCTCAATAACTTAATGAAAAAGTTGTCTAAAATTATGATGATGTTTGTTTAGTATGCAATATTCATATCTTTAAGATATTGCTTTCTATATTTTCCCTCTACCCGACGTAATCAGGATGAAAGAATGAGTGGCTAATGTTATAAATATATAATATTGGTTTGACATATTCGGTTTTTCTTCTTGGACAAGTTGCAATATGTGGCCACCATTGTCAATTGAATAGGCTTCTACTTTATCTTTTCATTTTCCTTTCAATCAATCTTTTGCACATTTAAACTGTACGTAACAGCGACAAATTTGTTCCCTGATTTAAAAAAAAAAAAAAGAACTGTTAAATGTAAAATAACCCGTAAGCAGAGGTTCCATCAACAGTCCACACGTATTTGCCGTCCCCATATACCGATCTATATGAAAATGAAAGCTTGGAATATTTTAATTTTTTGGAGCTTTTCTGAATTACTCTATGAGTATTGATATGAAATGTATCAAATTCTCAACCTGTTTGACATTAAAGCTATATATATGACTTCACTGATATGCATTTTTTCCTTCTTTTATTAGGTTTCGTGCAAGTAAAAATTAAAATTAAATAAATTTTTATATAAAAAAGTTTTAATTTGAAAATAAAAATAATGATTCATATTAAATTTTGAATTTTGAATATATTAAATATTATTTATTAAAAATAATTACATTAACTAATTAAATTAAATATCGGATGTAAAATCAAATAATTCATGTACTATATTATATATTGCTTATGAAATCAATGAAAGAAAGATATAATGAAATAAACAAATCAACATGTAATCAGATAAAATTCAACATGAAAATTGATTATATGACGGAATTTATATTTAGCATATAGACTTAGCTTTATTTCATTTTTATATAACGTATAGATTTAGCTTTATTTCTCTTTTGAAAAAGAAAAGTATTTAAGGAGACAATTGAAAGCAAAGTATCCATTTTGACTACTAAGAGTTCAAAAATTATAATTTACTGCAAAGGAGGACTAAATGTTCCATGAAAACTACGTTTTGTTTTTTATTCCTAAATTAAAAAAAATATATTTGTTTGGCAGGTAAATTATAAACAATGTTAGACGACATTGGAAATTAACCTAATGTTTCAGCTTTTAAAATGTAATTAAATAACTAAATATATGATTTATTTCCTAAATTATTGCAATCCATTTGACTTGTCTATCTCTAACTATGTCCTTTCACATTGCATGTAGTCAACATTTGTGGATGATTTTTCTAACTCTTCCTTTTCAAGAAAAATAAACAAAGTTTTAATCAACTAGATTCTTCAACATGTCCTTTTCAATATGACTTTGTCATGTGAATAGAAGATCTATGTTCTCTTAACAACTCCAGAAGGTCGGCACACATTAAGAGTATGCATACTAAATTCTTGATCATGTATTACATATGAAAGAAATCAGCTGCACTAGATATATGACATGAATGTTGCACCCTTGCCTAATGTTTACTATAATTATAATTTGGTCTCACTATCACAAAATTTAATCACCCTCAACTAAATCTAATGCACCATTTCAAAAGAAAAAGAAAAAAAAAAAGCTGGTGAAGATAAATTTTCTAGAGCAAACTAGCCAAAAAACAAAAAAGATATTAATATTTTACCGGAGATATTATCATACCCATTGACATTAAAATTTTTAAATTTTATTGTCATGATTAATAGGATGACACAAATTTTTAGGATATAATAGAAAATTAAAAAATAATTAAAAAATGAAACATTTGACAGACTCTTAAACCTTAAATTCTATATAGGAAATTAAAAAGGTTTCCCTACCATTGTATAGAAAAGTGAATTCATATTATATCTATTTAGCTAAACAAGGGCTTAGTTCATAGACCGTGATCAGCAAGGAAACAAAGCCTAGCCCAAAGAGTAACTTCCATTGCTGTTATAAGTCAAAAATTCAAAATCAATGGGTTATTATTATTTTTTCCTACGTAGAATTCATTAGGTTAGATTGACAATTTGACATACCTTTTCTTTTTCCTTATTTTTTTTATTGATTTTTTATCATTACAATTTGTTAAATTGGATTTAAGGAAATGAGTGAAAATAGATTTCTAAGGTCATAGTTTCTTCTTTTTTCTTTTTCTTCCCTCAAAAAAAAAAAAGAAAAGGGCGGGGGGGTGGGGTTTCGGTATAACTTTTAAATTTTTAGCTAAAGGCAAGCTAGTTCCTTTTTAGAAACCAAGGCCCAAGGATTAGCCTCTGTTGCCGTTATAAGTCACAATTCAAATGCTTAGACTGGACATGCTTTTGTTTTTGTTGATTTCCACAAATCATTCCAGCTACGTTTTGTTGAATTTTAATCTTTCTACTGTTCTTTAAGTTGGATTTCATTGAAATTATATATATATATATATATATATATATTTATATATACATGAAATATGCAGAATTGGAAGACTCATGTTAAGGAGTTTATCAGTTTTCATGATAAATACAAAACAAAGCCTTGATAATCTTCAAAATAGCTGTTTAAAACACCTTTTATCTTTAGCTTCTTTAAATTTGATGCATAAACAATAAGCACAAATGATTCCATCTGAGAGATTTATTCCGGCGCAAGAAATATACATTTTCTGGGATTTGTAAAGAACAAATCAGCAATTTCCAGCATGTGTTTCTAGAGGTACAAGAATCAGGTGTATTGGGTAATAAACCTATAACTATAGAATTTCTGGGGGCTGCTGGCTTTGGCATCAAATACAAAACAGAATGAGCCCCAACACATGTTCAATCACTATCTTGAGAACACAAGCAGTAACGTAGTAGAGATTGTTAATATTATGGCATAGGATCTAGACCAACCGCGAGCTCCAATATCCTGCAAAAATGCATATAAAAATACAATGAAATAGGAGAAAAAAAAAGAAAAAACTACAGCATCTTTTACTTTCCTGTGATATTGAAAGAGCAAGTTACTGCAAACAAGTGAATCGCTAAACCACATATTTGCTATGTTCAAGGCTACATTTTTTCAAAGCTTTAAGCCGAAGCAACATCCTTTTACTCCCTTCATTAACAAAGGATAACAGACAATATGCAAAAGAACAGAAGGGAGATATTGTTACAAACTAAACAACCTAAAAAATAAAGCCACCAAAAGACTACCTTTTTTACCTATTAATCAAATAGTATATCTAGGGTCTGGGAACAAAAAACTATAGGCATTGCTGAAATTGAAGGAAGTGCTTCCAATTTAGCATTGGTGCAATGGTATGATTTTTCAGTTGTACTTGATAAAACTCCTGGTGCATTGCAAAGATGGATTTGATCGGAAATTCTCTATACTGTCATTCATGTTCATCTATGTCTCTCTACTTTCTCTCATTTCTCTCTTCTCTATGCAGACTATGCTCATTTTGTTCTTTCTCTTCAAGCTGCATATGGAAGTCAAAGAATATTTCACAGAAAGGAATTCAAAGATAGGTGCCCTCAGACATAAATAAGGCATTTACATAAAAAATTATACACCAACCAGATTTGAATGGTTCAAGAACATGATAAGAAGACCATAAAAGTGGTGCAAAAAAAGGCAATATGAAGCTACTCAATGCAATCAAGAAGGTATGGACATGTTAGAAAGGAGTGTAAGTGTGTTTAGGGTAAGTTACGCAGTACAGACTTGTAAATAGGGTCTCTGTTGCTTTATAAGATATACTCCTAAGCAGATAGTAATGAGAAGATATATAAAAAATGAGAAGATAAATCAAAATCATAAAATCATCGGATCAGCAGCATCACATAGCCTCTTCCATTAACATGAAGATATTGTTATTAAGGTCTGTCTTTCTCTTCATTAATAGACATTATTCATAATGCTTTTACCATGTTAAAATTGTAAAATTAAAATTGTCTAGGTACTGCTGCTGTCTATCCACCCAAATTTACTCCAATGTAACTTCATCAAGTGGAAACCAAAGAGAAAACAAAATAATTAGCACACCAAGAGCAAGACAAATTTATGATTTTCTAAGAATATACTTCTTCTTTCCGAGAATACTCAAATCTAATCTGCAAAAATGTTAACATATCTAAGATGACATATGTCAAGGGTGGGAGGAAACCTCGTACCTTCAAAGATGACAGTGATGAATCTGCAGATGACGATTTAAATCCATGAAATCCGATATCATACGAGATGCTCCCATCAGGTTTAAACAGGCCAAAATTCCTCTCAGAAGTTGGCCCAGGCTTCAAATTTTCATTAAAGATCGCAAAAACATATGCCTTAACCACATTTTTTGGCCTGAGAGGAGTTCCTTTCATCTTTGCAAGCCTTTTTCGCAAATTGTAGTTATATGTCCTTGCATTATTTGCTGTTGCCACAGATTCATTCTCATCTCCATGTGAAGCCCACCCAGTCTCTGTGATGATGACTTCCATCTTTTCAAATCCAGCATCTTCTAATGCAGCATAGGCTGCATCAATCTGAGCATCAAGCAGGTTATCATAATGCAACTTAGTTTTGGGATCATTTGCTCCCTCTGTTGGCAGGAAGAGAGCATAATTAATATCAATATGCTCTGGATTATACATGTAGGCTAGAAATGGGTAAACATTTAAACAGAATGGGGAGCCAATTTGTGAAAAAAACTCTAAAAGAGGCTTCATGTACTGAACAACATTTTCTTTGAATATGCATGATGAGGGAGGGAAGGAATTAGCAAAAACAGCCTGTGAATGTGCCGTGGTAATCTGAATGACATCGTTTAACTTAAGCTTTTTTACTGCATTGTACACATTTTTAACTGCTCCCAGAAGAAATCCCGAAAACTCATCACTCCCTCCTAAGACTTCATTCCCTATGGCAATCCCACGAATATGTGTATTGGGAAGATATGCCAGCACATTGTCCTTGACCCAATTCATAGCGTGATCTGCATTGGCACTCACATCTCTCAGATTTTCATTTGGGAGTCCAACCACAATTTCCAGTCCTGTCCCACTGAAGGCTTTGAGGACACTATGATCAGCATCATAAATTCGAACATTCTTTATTTTTGCTGCCCTAAGAAGCATGACAACTTCATCTGGTGAAAGGATGTTATTCGCAATTCTTCCATAATTAATGCCATATGTTCCAGTGAAAGCTTGCACAGTCACAAATGCTGGAGAAAACAAACAAAAATAGTTTTTTAATCACTGTCATTTTATTTCCAAGCACCAAGTAATAAACAGGAATGCAAGCATAATAACAACAATATTCACTTGTCAAAAACAGAAGAGAATACAAATTTTAAAGTTACTCAACTTGGACAACTATGATGGTCAATGTTTTGGTAGTAAAAGAAAACTAAAACTGTTTTTCTCACAATTTGTGGCAAATGCATCTCACATCCGAGAATTCTACAATAAGTAAATCGTTTGTGGATCAATGAAACAAATGGAATTACTTATATTTCTTTTGGTAAGATCTCTAGAAATTAAGATGTCCATGGAAACAATTATCTGCAGCACCATTTGAACTAAATACATAAGCAAGTTCTCAAACTGATAGACAGGACGGAAAGAAGAAAGCTGGCGAGAGAGAGAGAGAGAGAGAGAGAGAGAGAGAGAGAGAAAGACACGCATACTCACACATTGTACAAGCAAAAAGCCAAACAGAAATGTGCCTTAAAATAAAGAAGAAATTTTGTTCAAATGTGTTCTAAAAGATACTGACTGTATGAGCAATGAGTAGTTATCCTTCAGCAAAAGAGTGAGGAAAGGCTTTCATGGTGAGGAAGTTGGTTTGTAGGTGGTTATCCAATATTTGGTTTGAATTTCATTTACATTTTCAAATTATTATTATTATTATTATTATTATTATGTTGTTTTAATGACTTATTAAATTGCATGGCTTGCAATTTAAACCATGAAAGGGCTTTTGTGGCATAAAGTGAGCAAATTTCAACCTTCAAAACTATCTTGAGATTTGTTTAACTAAAACAGACGTATCAATGTTTATACACAAACATAGAAATCATCTCAACACTTGTACAAAATAATTTCAGCACAGAAAACAAAAGAATGCCATTAACAATTAAACACTAACACATAAAAGAAAGGCTATACAATAGAAAACCCATCCTTATGGATGAAGCTATGCTAAAGAAAACTCTCATATTTGGATAAGACTTGAATCAAACATCATCCACCAAACTGAATTCCTATATAATCAACCAGCCCTTACAAGAGAATAATAGGATTCAAATCCCAAATCCAACTATAACATATAGCAATTGAAATAAAACTGCAGCTTGAAAAAGAGCCATCTTTTCATTCAAGAAAAAAATTACTTGAATAATCATGATATAAAATAAACAGTAAATTTTATTAATATTTTTTTTTTAAGGACAAAGTTTCACACAAAAGAGCAATTTCTTAGTTGAAAACATTTTTTTTTCTCTAAAAGGAGTTGAAACATTCACCACAGCTTACAATTATCAAAATATACGACCAACCCAACAAAATTCACCATTAAGAAACCCCAAGGTAAACTTTCAGTAGAAAAAGCCATATACACTGATCTAAACAATTACATTCAACAAACTCCGAGATCAACCCATTTCAGACAACATCAAAAACTAACAAAAAAGATCAACAAACAAATTGAATTATAAACCTTAAAAAGCAAGAGTAAAGGAGAAAGTACCAATAGGTGCAAGAAAGACTAAGAAGAGTAGATGAACCCCAAAACTTTTCATTGCGTTTTCTTTTTCTTTTTTTCTTCAAGGAAGAATTAAATGATCCAACTTTTGGAAACGATCCTTACAAGAGAAAGACAAAAAGAAAAAAATCGGAAATCGAACAAATTCCTTCAATGCAATGCGCCTTGCAACTCTGGCATGCCATAACACAACAGAGATTCTCCCTTTGTACTTCACTTTCTCACTTTATATCACACTCTCTCCATGCCTGTATTTTTGACTCTCATAACCTCAGCCTCTTTGTTTCTTCAATTAAAAATCTGGGTAAATCTGGGAATGGAACCTTGTGAAATGATTTAAAGACAGAGAACAAAAGCTTTTTTTGGCGGTCATTTTCAGTGGGACTTTGCTGACAGAGAACGAGAGAGATGGGTTTTGGCCTCGGGCTTTTGATCGAATTCTACTGTTGAAGTACTAGCTTACCTACTGCCCCTTCTAGTGTTCTTATTACACACAAAATAAAAAAGATTGTTTGGGTTAAATTTGTAGTCTTGCTTTGATTAGTAGTCATTCAAAGCCTATTTGCACATTAGGAAGTGTAGAACTTCAGTTTTTTACCCACTCGCTTGCTCCAAAACTGTCTCCAAGCGCCGCAAGTGGCAAGAATTATAAGGTTTTCTGGTTATTGGTGACGATCCCATTATCAAAGCAGAGTACTAATCTATGTCTAGCCACTAGCAATGCAAGCTGAGATCAACTCCAAACTTTTACCATCTATAAAAAAATTTGAGTTCGAATCTCATTTGTTAACTTGATGACATATGTTATAATACGTTTTTTCCTCTTGTTTTGACAACATCAAAAAATAATGTTCTTACATATTAATAATTTTAATTGTGTTTCTCATAATTTGGATTTCAAAGAATTTATATAAAATTTTTGTATTAAATAACTTACCATTTTGATTTTAGTTATTCCAGAAATGTAAATTATTTTAAGTAAAACCTTTATGGATAAAAAAAATCAAAATAATTATATCTCTTATTAAAATTTATCATTTTTCACTTGTTACATAATCAATGATAGATTGCTATTGTTGTTATTATTTTTATAGTTATAGTTATTACATGCTTTGTGATTTTTTTTTTCAACTTTCTAAAAGACTTAAGATATGTAAGTGTTATTTTATTAGAGTCTATATTGTTAGAATTTAAAATTTTATTCAATTGATTGTATAAATTATTTTTAAAAATAAAATTTAATAAATTTAAAGTTTAAATTTTATTACTTGTAAATTTTTTTAATTTTAGAAAAAAAAATCCATTGCCGTTTAGTAGCCAAAAATAAAAAAGGATTTTACAATTGTGATCAATAGGGAAATTTCGGTCAAGCAATGATCGGAGCGCGTGGAATAATCGCTTCTTGCTTTTGAAACGCATAGACCACTTCCTTTGGCATTTGTCTTGGCACACGTGTGAGAAGTGAGAAGAAATGGTAGCAATTTGCGCATGGGGACTTAAATAGATTAATTATTTTATTTACAGTTCTTTTTTAATCTTATTAAATAAATCATTGAAATGACGATCCAATCAATGAGAGAAAGTGGGCAACTCGAAAGGAGCAACTTCTTATTAATTTTGGGTTATTCCTGTGGAGTGATTGGAAGACAAAAGAAGGTTCATATAATAAAGTCGTAATTACTTACACTATGCTTTTGGATTATGAATCTTTGCACGTATTCGAAGCGTTAAAATATATATATTATAAATATCTCATGAGAAAAAAAAAATCCAAAAAGGAAGGAATATAATGAAATGAAGCCATCTTTCAGCGTGTCGATTGTTTAGTTTGAACGACAGTGGGGTTCTATATCAAGGACTTACTGCAGTTGTTGACAAATATTGCAACTGGTTTGGCCAGTTGGGGCTGCTGGTCTTAACCGGTTCCCCACTTGACAATAAACTTGGCAGGATTTTCTTCACAAATTAATATGCTTTCACATAACCATACACGATGATCACTTTCTATTCTAATTACTTTGATTTATATAATTTTTTTTTTATAAGTAGGTCATATGTATTCCAAGTTTTGTCTTGACCTAATCTCTTTCTCCAACAATCTTAAAAACATATTTCATATATATATATATATATATATATATATTATTTATATGTGAGGGATACAGTCTTGAGATTTATATTTGAAGTATCCTAAGTTTGGTGCATTATAAGATTTCACTTTTGAAATGTTCTTCATAAAGATCGAATTCAAATTATCAAGGAAAGGATTCTTCCATCAATTCAACTAACCTTTGTCGGTTGATTTAATCATATAGTCAACGAATTTCACATACATATAATAAATCTTAATTATATTTTGAAGTAATATTAAAGTACTAAATTAAGATGAGATATTGATATAAAACTCTTGATGATTTAAAAAAATTTAACTAGTTTCAAATCTCATTGTGTATGAATTTAGTTTAATTTTATGTTGAATTTATCTAATTAAATTTTAATTTTTTAAATTGATTTATTTGCTTGATTATTTAATAATTTTTTACATATGAATGTAATATTTGATTATAATTATAACTTCATTTATACTTATAATTAAAAAAAAATTCTAACAAGCTTTTAAAATCCACTTAATTTGCTACACTAACAAGGAGAGGCAATTATAAAGAATAATATATTATCATTAGCCTTGCCCCAGTAGAAAAATGTTTGATATTACATTTTAAAAAGAATTGCAAGTTACTTAACCTAGTCCACTTTTCATCATTACCTTAACTAACAAGAAACAAGACAGTTGGCCATTGCTTCTTTTATTTGAGTTACTATCTCCTCCTCCTACCACCACTTCACTTCTTAGTGCAAAAGTACTAAAATAAAATCAGAAGCAATGTTCTGATCAAGGAAGCAAATGGTGATAACTTAGGAGACAAGATCAGACTCACAAGCTTCATCAAATGACATTTTGTTTGTCATCTTTAATTTTTGTTTCTTTAAGAAAGAAAGTGAAGCCTTTCAAATAAAGATGTTAATTAATAATGCCTTCATCCTTAGTTTCAATGCCAACAATAAGAAGTCAAGAATGCAATTAAGCCATTTTGATCCAAAGAGAAACTTTAAGGAAAGTCCCTGCAGCTGGAATTTGATGAAACATTATAATTTTTTCTACTTGTTAAAAGTAAATATAATTTACAAAATAGAAAAAAAGTAAGAACAAGACAATAACTACATGAAGGTGGAATTACTTTTTAATATGTACATGGGAAGAGAAGAAAGCTGAATTTTAAAAAGCAAAATTTCTGTGAGGTTGAATTTAAAATTTAATTTAATTAATCATCGTCATCTATAAAAAATAACATTCAACATATTTAAAATTTAAATTTTAGCATTTATAATATCATATTTTATTTTCAAATAATAGCTTCTTTTGAAAAAAATAAAAAAGAAAAACTATGAGAAACTTTATTAGTTAATAATGTTTAATTTAATTATTTCTATTTGAAAGAGATGTGTTAAACATATCTTTAATCTCTATGGTTAAGTTTTATATAGCCAAAAAAAAAAAAAAAAGGTAGTCTTTAGAGCTGGCTTCGAAGGGATAGACCATTTGGTTATGGAGGCATTGGTAGCTTTTGTCAAACAAAATGAAATGCTCCACGTAAGGGAATCTACTTTTCCTTCCTGTGGTTTGTTGAGTAGGTAAAAGACGCTACAGTAAAGGAAAGCTTCACGAATTTTCCTTTTCATATTTCTTTGAGTGGCACATGTTATTCACACTGCATTTTCCCTTCTCTTCTTTCTACTTGGAGAAAATGCTATTGGTGCTGACTGAAATTGCAAGACAAAAACATTTCCCTTTGCAGTTCAAACTATAAAGTACATACAAAATTATAACCTCTATTTAATTAAGTGTGATCGAACAGTTTCAACATGCAGAAATAACACAACTGTTTTATTAATTTATAAATTTTTATTTAATACACTCTTGATATATATTTTATATATGGTTAATTGAATTTTAAAATTTAAAAGCTCTCAAAAATAAAATATTTTTAATTTTTTTGAAAGAAAAAGATTGTAATTCGGAGAACGAAAAAATTAAGTCTAATCGGAAATAATGTGTTCATGGATAGAGGAAATTTGCAGCTTAAGCAAAATGGAAGATAAAACAGGAGGGAGGATATGGAGTAAATTGGGATGGAAGGAGAGACGGCAGACTTGTGATTTGGGGATGAGATTGCTGCTGCTCTCGTATTATTACAATGGGGATTTGGGAGGTTTCATAATCATTCATACGTGCCTTTTTTTTTTTTTTTGGTGTAGTATACTCGTAAGTATCAGGGATCGCGATAGCTCTAATATCACTCGTTTAGAAATTAACACGCACATATAACACCCATACACAAAATAATAAGTTCAAATAAAAAATAAGAACACAACAATATATTTGTTTCGGTCTAATTTAAAATAGTTTACTCTAAATCTAATTCACTAACAAATAAATCTTTATAATTGTGAAACTTTTAGAATGAGAAAAGTTACTAAAAACTCCTTACTCAAAACTTAATCCAAAACCCAATTACATCATTTAATAGCTTACTCACTTAGCTATTCTCTTAAAGTCTAACTATTTGGGATTATCAAACTAAAATCAAATTCACCCTTATACCATTTACTAAACTCTCATTGTGGGATACAAGATAAATTTAAAACTCTTATAACTTTTGATGTGGGATTATGAGATTTAAGGCAAATCCCAACAAATCTTTCATTGACTTGAATCTCCAAACATTTCAATAGTATCTATAAAACTAACACACTTACCTTTCTTTTTTTCTTTTATCACAGAGATCCCAGCAATCGAGCCTCCATCAAGCATGTACAAGTGATTTTTTATCCTATTTTCTTGTAGAATCACACTATCATTCTTGTACACTTTTAATGAATTATTACTATCATAGTATGTGTACCCGCAAAAAACTAACTCACCCAAAGCAATTAAATTATAGTTACAACTTGATATTGTTGTAACAATTTTGGGATCGTCAGACGTAAAAAATTTTAAAATTAAAAAAAAAAAAAGAGAGTCGTCACAAATCTTTTTTAGGGTGTGATTAACCACCCAAAAGTTTTTTTTTTAAAATAAAACTATAAAAACGAGTTTAAAGTTTATTAAAAAAATGAATTTTGGTCTACGAAAATAAATTTTGAGTTCGGGAGTCGGTTACGCATAAGGAAAGATTAGTACTCCCATAACGCCCATAAATTGGTACCAATTAATTATGTGCTATTTTCGGTGTTAGATGAAATAGTTTTAATTTGAAATTTAACAATAATCCCTTTTGTTTTAAAAAATAAAATTTTGCTAAACTCTTTGTTTAGGAATGTTGAAAAAATCTTTAAGTTAAAGAATTATCTTAAAATTCTCCAACATCTAGGCAGAATTTAAAACAATTCTTTTCACTTGAGATTTAATACAATATTACTTAAAATAAAAATAACACTCTTTATAGAAAATAATTG